AAAAACCGATTATTAAGACTGTTATTCAAAAACAAAACTGAAAATCTTTTCTATAATAACAACAATAGGCTACTAATGATGCCACTATGAACAGTTAAGTGACTAAATTATGGTAAACAGATTGTAACAAAAAATCATTAAAACGACAATTTTCTGTATTGGTTATTTTTTTCTGGTTTCTTAAAAAGCAGCCAAATTCAATAAATGCACACAAACACATGTGACAATTTTTAAAAAATCCTCGTGATCGAAATCACTCTCAGAGTAAATGAGTTAAGTTAGCCAGCAGATTAAACATTGTTATCTTTTTTTCTTCAACTGTTTTCTAGAATTATTAATATTTTCTCTACTTACTAACGACAATGTTAAGAACACGGATGAAACGCGATATAAACAGTAATCGTTTTCCGACACTAAACGGAATTCCTTTTCGAATAGTAAAGATCTATGCGTGAGGCAATCAAGTGAGACAACGATGATCTATGTATAGAAATTAATCAAGATAAAATAATTAGTTTTGAAAATTGCACCAGAAAAACAGTAAACCCAGTTCTATTTTTTTAAAGTAACATAAATATAATAGACTGATAGCCTACGCCAACATTCACAAAAACCAAAACCAATAAGTAGCTATAATACTATAAACCTAACTGCGCACACTTTAATAAGATATGCATCAGTACTTATGTCAATGATGCTGTTTTTCATATAAAATTCATACACAGATAAAGTGTAAGAACTGAATAACGTGCTTTTCATCTTCATTTCATGAAACCCGTAACAATACAAAACAGATGTTACTGCCTCTATTAAAACCCTCATACTGACGTTGACGGGTTAAAGTAAATATTTATAGAAAATACCGCTTATAGCTAACAAAGTCAAAATCTCTCAGATTAACTCATACGATTGCGCAGATCTTGTATTAACCTGGTAAAGTTACTTTGCATTCTTTCTAAAGTGAACCACTAATACAAACTATGCTCATTCAAGTTACATGCTGTGGTTTGGTTGTGGAGTACACCGAAAGGGTGATGGGAAAAATACCCCTAATTTTAGAAATTTTAAGGAAACAAAGATTTTATCAATATAACTGGGCTAACCTTGAAACCGACAGAGATTCACACTAGTTTTAGACAGACACTCAGCAAATACTTTCGCTTAGTGATTTAGAACTGTTATACTTGAAAATCGTTGACAGAGGCCTAAGATTGTTATAGTTGACATTTATTTCAAATTTGAACTATGGTTGTATGAATGGTAAGTTGAAAATAGCAGAAGATTCGTTAGTTTCCCTCTGTACTTTGATCCCTGTACGAGGTTATCAGCAACTACTCCCCACCATCACACGCTCAAACAGATATTGGCTTTCATTTATTTTCGAAGCCATTTTTCGGGATTTTAACCATACTATATCATGAAATTTGGTAATTAAAACTAAGATTAACTCATTCAACAGGTATTCGAATATGAGTTACGCACAAACCGAACTAAGTGGAGGGGGTCTGAAATTGGGGTTTATTGGCTAGATGTTGAGTACCTTAACTACAAACCACCGTTCTACTGCTACACCCACTGAAATTTGAACTTGGTTACTTAGTTACTGATTTCCAAAAGCGATTGTGAGCAAATCAATAAATGTTTTAGTTCGTATATATTTCTCGTCCGTCACTACCAGTTGGGGGGGGGTAATTAAAGAATAAGTGGTCCCAAGCTGCTATTCTTTGTCTTATTTTACAACTGAGAAGTACGTATGGTATTTATGCGTGGGGAAAATTGATACTATTGATTGACCAGGCCAGCCGGTATGCAGCAGATATTGTTCCATTAAATCCATAGTGCTACGATATTGTGAAAAAGTTTCAAATTATTATTACGCTTCAAGGACAAATTTAGTCTCTAAAGTATCCAAATAATGAGAAGAGGCTCATCAACTTTGGCGCCTTTGTTGATTGGGGAACAGTTCTTTAAAAAAACTCGTGTTTTAACAATAATGTGATTAGTGAAATGTGAAGGTTCACTGTCGAGAAGAAGAGTTCAAGGACAAAGTGAGATGACATATCGACTTGATTTCCCTTTGGAATTCAGTGTTATTTAGATTGTGATCTTATATCAACATTGAGGAACGCTTGGATCATATTCAGTAAAGAGCACAAGTCATGTTTCTACATATTCCATAAAAAGCTGGATAACACAAAAAGTGATGAGATAGATATACACTCCCAACTTACGAACTGGATTTGGAACTTGCGATATGTTTTTGTATTGAATTTATACTGGATTGGGCTACCGTATGATTTTCATTGGACGTACCGCTTAGTAATACCAGTGGTTCGTCGGTTAAATTTGGTGAATTTATTTTCATTGGGTCGGAAACGTGTATGGATGGATTAATTTGATCGCTTTCTGACTTTATGGAATTCAAAGTTTCGGCACCGGTAGTGTAACTCTCCATAAAAGACATGGAAACATTTCGGTTTGATTGGACCTGCTTTTCAAAGGAAGAATTAGTTGATTCAGTAATAACACTATCGAAAGATGATGAATTTGGAATTATTGTCCATCCCTCTTGTTCAGCTTTAACTTTGTTCAAAGTTCGAGAAAAATTGCTAGAAGAATAAGTAAAATACATTAACCGGTAACTTTGAGCATTATTATACTAGCTGGATAAATGTAGTAATTTATGTCGTAAATGCTGGTATTGTTTGATTTGGCTCGATGATGTTTTGACATTATTTAAAAACTGAAAAGCAAATAATGAGACCTAAATTCATCTTGATAAACAAACTGTACATCACCAGAAAGCAGATGAAAGACAGGAAATAAAATTTAGTCGAGTGTTAAGCTGTGTATCAAAACCAAACCAGATTGTATATTTATCAACAACCTTGTGACCTATATCAAACAAATGAAATCTAAGACAGCGAAAGCTAGCCAGTAACTTAGAATAAGTCCTTTTATTTAGCTTTTAATCAGACTTGTTGTGTGGCAGAGGCGTTAAACCCTTAACTAACAGGTTGTTTGCCTGAACCACAGTCCAGGTACTTCGGTCGGGGTAGCCCGGGGGTATTACTGTACCCTACTAAAAGTGTGGTTCATACAAATGGCCAGATGGTGAATGGATAACAGAAGTAATTAAGTATACTGACTAGCTAAAATAAACTAAAAGGCCTAAACCCTTCTATGAGTTCGACTAACGTTATATATATTCTTACACCAGTTGAGATGGATTTCTGTTAAGAATGTGTTACGTATCTTAAGGAGCTTAAACAGTAGGATTTCACAAACGTGTCAGCTACTTTGCCTTATTTACTGAACACGACAAGCCTAACAATAAGGCTAATTTTTACGTATCAAGAACGAACACATCGAAGTGGTTGATATATACCTGTTACTCGAAACGATAATACCGCTAGAATATGACAAATAATGAAACTAGTTATGATGAAATAAAAAATTACATTAAGAGTATTTTACCATACTATTTTGGAATAATTTTCAAGAACTTACGTGGATAGTGTGACTGAATTGTTTGGAATAAAAAACTAGTGTTTATTAAGCAGCAAATACTCTTAGTGAGTAACGGGGCACTACTTTCATAACAAACTGGGTTATTTAAAAATAAGGTTTAACTTTCTGATACACTGTGAATTAGCCATTTGGACACTTTTGTATAACTCCAAAACTTTGTAGGCCACAGAAATGCAATAGCTGACGAGATTTTAAAACATCTTCAAATAAAAATAAGCACTTTATGAAGTAACTGAAGATGGTTTAACTGAAACTTTAGTTTAGCTAGCCTATGATAACATTCTAACATATGTGAAGAATCATATCGATAACGAAAATAAAACAGTAATCGAAGTTCAGAAGTCTAACGAAAGAAATTCAACTTTCAAAATGTAGTCGGTAGTTAGTATAGATACACATACTAAAGTTGACCTCATTTGTACTAAAAATAAAAAGTTTAGCATTTAAAATAAAGTTTATTTGTGCAAAGTGAATAGACATCTTATAATTATGTGGACTATATGATGTATATAATCAGTTAACAAATACATTAAATTAGACCTTCATCAGAATAGAGAAGGGCAAATGAAATCGCAAGTCATACACACTAAGATGGTAATTCTGACTCTGAAACCAATAAATTACGTCAGACTTTATAGAAATCCTCATTATAATACCAATTAAAATCAATGCAATAGGAAACTAATGACGTTTCGGTTTATCCATCCCTAGCTTCCTTTCAATCCACTCCTGCACTAGACACCACCCGTCGAGGTAAGCGGTCGTTGAAGATGCACAGTTCATGAACCAAACACCCCAGTTGATTCCCTACAGCACTAATCGATCTTCCATCCTTACCTAGTACTTTATCTTTGCCTAACCACAGTAATGGTAAGTCGGTAATCAAAGGTCAACTGAGATTTTTTAGATCCGTGCCGAAATTTCGTGAGACACCAAAGCAACAGAGCTGATGAAACTTTTAAAGCAGGTGAAGTCTAACTAATCTTCTTAAAATAACTTTGCATATAGAGGAAAACCATTCCTGAAGCAACGATTTCGTTTAGAGGGAGAAAAACACATCCCAAATATGCTTACACGACTGCTCAAGATTATTAGAATACAGACTTTTGTCAGTCTTAGCTAAACAGGGTTGTCATACACGTACTTTAAGTCAATAAGAGAATCTTGATGAGTTACTGAGCGTCATCTCTATGACAAAAGAGTGGACAATCCTGGTGAACATCATTTCAAGTCATCAATTACGATAACAGTTCGTCATAAGCAGTGAGTCGACCAGTAGTGTTCGAGTAGAGCCCGAAGAAGGTTGCCATTAAACCTGTCAATCACCTGAGTCGAAGGGTGCTTTGAAGTCAAAAAATACAACTATAATCGGGTGGTCGTATGTCTATGTTCCGAAACCCGACGAAGGGTGGACAGTTGATTTAGATATTTACATCCAGATTAGAAACCAGTACAGTTATGTGTCGGATAATTATTGAAGATAATATTTTAGACACTACTCCCTTTATGGTTATCAAAAGAGGATTTCTATCCTTTCTTATAACTGATAACGATCAGCGACAGATCAGTCAGGTCGGATTAGGTCCAGTCCCCAGACCCTAGCCAATATCTCAATCAACTAAATTGTTAAAACTGGAGGACCATTCTTAAAAACTCCCGAAGTTCATCAGTTCGGGTCTTCTTTCCCTTGCTTTAGATTAGTTATGACATTTCCAAAATTACGTCTGAGCTTTGACTTTTGAAGGAAGACGGAACGCTAACTCATTTTTCCCTTTATCTGAATTGTAGTCGATCTGAGTTAGTAGACAGGGCAAAAGTGTGTGTCCATATCATTCCGTGTTTTTATTGTCTCGTTTGGTTGGACAAAGCACGAATGACTGTCTATTAGAATCCGGTCCAAGAAAGTGTGCTCGCCTTCTGAACTTGATACCACACCTACCCAATTAGACTACGAGTAGAAGTCAGATGTTTATATACATTAGTAGTCAGTCGATCCGATTCTTTATATTGACTGAGGTCGGTAAATGATCAAGCTTGGAGTCTGTACGCGTATTTTGAAGACGCAGCATATATCGATGGCACAAAAATCTAAAGCCTTAGTTAATGAAGCTTGTTATCTAGTTTGATATAAGATCTGAACAGTGAAAACCATAAAACAAACTTCAAGAACTCCAGGAATAATTTTCTAAGCTCAAATCGCCAACAAAGATGAGTAATAAGGGGGAGGCTGAAGATAAAAAATGAGGACTTCGAGTGAAAATAGAAGAAATATTAGGAAGTTAAGGAGGGATTTGTTTGTGAACAAGATGATCATGAGTGCTGTTAGATGTGAGCTGTTTTCCCGGTCCAACCTTCCAGACCGTCAAACGATACCTTTTGAGGCATCCGAGAAAAAAACTAGATGAGTAGTGGTTTTAATGACCTGAAAGTATGACTATGTAGACTAAGAGACAATTTCTTGGGGCCGTACACGCCCAGCCTTTTTGAGTGTACTTTTTGATATGCTAGCTGTGTATTTTAAAGGCTTTACTGTCAAAGACAGAAGTTTATGGGGCAAAGTGAGATATGCTATTTTTAGGGCTGATTTTCCCTTACCCCTCCTTTCTTGTGGGGAGGCAGTATTGTTCCAAATGATGTCTATCTGGGAAAAGCATCTTGCTACCGTCACAACTCAGTGCAGTCAGAAATACGACTAAACTAAGTCACAATTGACAAAAACGTAAAAAGTTGAATAAATTTTACAGCTATGACTGAACGATAGTCGATTAATTTACGTGGTGAATCTGACTTTTACTGTTATTCATTTTCTACACGCCTCTAAGATAACTTCAAACTGGAAGGAATCTAGTTGTACTTCAACAAAGACAATATAATTTCACGAATTAGGATGGAACAACAAACTCAAAATCGATCGTTCATGTTTCTGACAAGAGAAGTTAGTGACTGGAAACAGGAGGGGTGGGTTAAAATAGCTCCTAAAAGTACAGGCGCACTTACAGCCTATTTTGTCAAATGAATGTTTTACTACTACATAGTTTATATAGCCCGAATTAATTAACCTGTCCTAATTTGTTATATTCCCTTACTGTTCTTAACAAAAGGGTGACAACTTGAGTCAACACACTCATACCACTTTCTGCTATGATTTAATCAGATACAAATAACTTCGGTAATATAAAAGAAATACCGACTTAATAATAACTACTGCAATCGAGAACTGTTGGGAGAGAAGTCCGCTTTAGGCTTATAGTTGCAAATTCATTAACAGCTGTTTCTGCAGGGTTGTACCCATAAGTTCAACAAACGAAATCTAGATGTTATTTGCGATATTACCACTACTGAATGAACAAAGGAAGAAAGTGAATTAGTGAATTGCTACTCTGTATGATATGAAACCACACAAAATACAAGTTATGGAATGTTATCAGATTATAAATAGACTATTCACTTTCACAATAAATGAGTTTGATTGAACTGTGAACACCTTAATTCCTCTAAAAATACATGACTATTTAAAAACGGACTGAAACCAGCTTTAAAGAATTTTATTGACCTAGAGTTGAACACGTTAGTTATAATAGTAGACTTCTGACAGAAAGAACAATGCCATGCATGACAAAGAGATATTGTTTCAAGCTACTTACTAGTAGTTCGACGAGAAAATGCTAATCTACGAATAGGTTTGCAAGTTAAATAACGATCATAAGAAACACATCTTAACAGGGATGACCTAACTGACGAGGCGATCGACGCTCAATAACTAGGTGTGAGTCACAGAGTAACGAGTAAATACACAAAGTCGGGTACATTGACGTGTAGTTGGCTACTGGGTTGCAAAAATCTTCTGAAGCAAATAACTAGCTTATTATGGAGTCTGAGACTAAAGAATTTTGATCATATATCTAATTTTTCTATAATTATAATGAGATTTTTGCTTTATCAGTGAACGTGACTAGTCAAAGGACTGTGGTCAAATTTTGCAACGCAAAGAGAGCTACATTTAAAACGGTTGATCGCATAGAATTATCTTTAAAACTTTCTGTGACAAACCTGCAACCTGTTATTTACTAAGCTCCCCAGATTTGTTACACAATGAGAGTCATTTATTTTAAAGGGCCTTCAAGTTAGTCAGTTTCACCACTAAACAGAGGTTTGCCATCTTTGCTGATCGGCTACTTTAAATTGTTTTACTTTATTAGTGTCTAGTATGGAACATTTATAGATCCGTTGTTCTTTTTAATATACACAAAAGAACTACGTGAATGTTTTCCGAGACCACCCAGTTTATTGACGATGTAAATGTCTTGGGGAAGTCTATGATTGGGATAAACTAACTCTCGCGGAAGATATTTGATCTTCAAACTGGCCAGATAATAGTGGATTGATAGATAAAATGTAATTTATTTGCGAAATGATCCTAGCTAAATAGATTAAGTAAGCCTTAGTTATAAGGGTCACTGGCAGAAAAATTTGGATCCCCTGATTTCTTACTATCTAAACAATACACGGTGACTCTGAGATGTGCTCTATTCAATTTAATGGTACGAATGTCTATTCGGATTTTCAGTAACTACTCGACTTCGTTTGAAGTGTGGATACGTTTTTTGTCACTTCAAAAGAATAGACGCACCTTGAAATGTACCCAAGACGAACCAACGTTTGTAGCATCAAGTTTAGTCATTGATAAAAGGACAAATTCAGATATTTATATCTATAAGAGTGTAGGACAATTAGGGGTGGTTTTATGACGGCTAGCAACAATATAGACACCTATCATTTGTGACTTCAAAGATATCTACAAGACGGAAGTCGAGCACAGCAGGTTGACTCTTTTTACTAGACAGCAATAGGCCGAAAGAAAACAGCTTGTATGAAACGAAAAGTATACGATAAAACTGAGCTCAAAATTCGGAGAAAAATGAGAAACAGGTATGTTCTACTGTGATCAGATCGATCCACACGGTCTAAGATGCCAGGGTCAGTCAGCTACAACGTAGGAACAGGCACACATGCATCGGTCCAAGTTGCCATACCTCATTAACACAACAAGATGGACACCGGATTCATAAAAGTAGTTAATTCAGAGGTGGTAATATATAAAAGAAAGATTGCAATAAGGATATAGTACAGGAAGAAAGAATTAGTTCGTAGAAAGAAAGACATGAAGCAATTTTAATCTCTTAGCTTAAGAGAAGATAGAGAGCGTATACACCTACGCCATTGTGATCGATTCTGAGCCATATCACCAAGAGTCTCCAACCATTATTTACGATAGTCACGCAGACCCCAAGCAAGTAGTCTGCATCTACCAACATGGCTCAGACTAGAAGTTAGTAACTTCAAGCACTAATGTCACGTTTTGGTTTGGTCGCTCCTAACTTTCTTCCAACCATCCCGAACACCGGTTAGCATTGCACGTCGTGGTAATCGGTGTTTGGGCATACGTAACACGTGGCCCAACCATCTCAGTCGATGAAGATTCACAACCTCATCGACTGATTTACCATCATTCCCTAATACCCTACGTATAACCTCACTATTACTTACCTGGTGATCCCAGCAGATGCCAGCAATATTTCTAGGGCATCTGTGGTCAAATACTAATACCTTACGAGTGTCTTCTACTCTTAATGGCCATGTTTCGCTGCCGTAAATTAAAATAGAACGGACTGCCACGCAGTATACTCGTCCTTTTATTGATAGACGGATATCTCGCCTTTGCCATAGGTGACGTAAGTTGACAAAAGCCAAGCGAGCTTTTCGAATCCGTGCTGAGATTTCGTCAGACACCAACCCATTGGGGCTGATCAGACTTCAAAGATAAGTGAAGTTGTCAACGCGTTCGACTACTTCACTCCCTACCCTTAGTTCAGGTGTTGACGCAGACCAGTCCTGAAGCAACAACTTGCATTTAGAGGGAGAGAAGCGCATTCCAAACATTCTGGCATTGTTGCTCAGTGCTGCCAAAAGACTGCATTTTATCAGCGTCTTCACCAAACAGGACTGTCATCTGGGTAATACTACGGTAGTCAGTGCTAAACTTGCGTTCCTCTTTAATTGGTGACTGAAGAAAGGGTATGAATTACCGAGTAAGCTAAAGTGGGATGACGTTTGTTTCAGAAAATAATTACAAGTACGGATATTTCTAGCCCAACATGAAATCATAACTTACTCTGCAAACAACTCTTGATCCTCTGTTATATTGTTTGGGTTTAAGAAACTAGTTGGGGTTACTGGTGTAGAACCATTGTTGCCAAGATGTCCTAGAAGCTTCTCAAACTCCGAGGTGTCTACAGCTCGAACCGTCCACGGCTGATAACAAGCTTCTTGAGATACAACATTACGAAGCGACAAGGAACAGCTCTTCAGATCTGTCAGATTTGAAGCGTTTGTTAAACATAGTCCTAAACTGGTTGGTCTGCCAGGTGAATGTATTTCAGAAACATCCGCTCTCGCATATTGAGTAATCACATGCAAAGGACGAGTTGACTTCACAGTATCACTGTTATTTTGAGCAAATGGTTCGTCACATTTGTTATCTGGCATTGGTAATCACGTGTCATTGAAGATCAGAAATACCCCTGATCGCCTCAGGACACAAAGGAAGCGCTTTGTGCGCACAAGGACAAGTCGTATGTACTCTGAAGCAAGCGATGAGTCAGCACCGATCTCGGCAGCCAATCACAAGAAGGATAACGCCTGATTTAAAAAACTTATTATCAATTCAAACAAATACACTCTGAAATAGGGTTACTTTATAAGGAAATTGATTCTGAAAATTAGTGTTTGCTTAGAAATCATGATGCTTTGTTTTCGTGCCGTTTTAAAGATTTTCGTGCTCGGACGGTCATGAATTGTGAGAGAATACAAAAACCGCTCGTTTCATACGCCTGTGTCATGATATATAAAACCTTAAGTTACAACCTAATACTCAGCCTTGTATGAAGAGGATAAAAAACCACTTAACTGATCACAGTTAGTTGCGTGATATCTAGTGATTTTTCCCTGGTTTCATCAAAAGGATTGTTCTCTGGAATTTCTCCGAATTGGTGACTGTATATAGAACTGCACTCCTTCTGATCTATTTTTTAGACTCTTGATTCTTGCACTACTCACAAATATACGTCAAGATTGTCATAGCTTCTTGGTTTGCAATGGTTTTCTAAGATTAATCCATCATTTAAAACTACGAATGTCAAATTTAGTCTGGTTTGGTGGCTTCGAGCCGGAGTTAATAACTTGACGGAGATTGAAGCCTGTATGGTGACTACTTTTGTTGGAAACGATACATTTTTCAATAACCCCAGCAGCAAATAGAGGTGAAATAAAGATGGACCAAAAGGGAAAAAAGTGGATGACAATAAAATAAAGGATAAGAATCAGTTATCCTCCTATATACCACCAAGTGCCGCTCGCGCAATGGATACACATTTGAACCAAGTATTCACATAATTATCGTCATTACACGTTGTTAATTTAATGGGTGGGAATTTAAATGTGCCGTCTGCTAGTTGGAATCCATTACGTGGTCATTCTTACTTTGGAAAACTCATCAAAGTACTAGGAATGAACTGCTTGACACAGATAGTCAACAAGGCTACCAGAAATCCTAGTCTATTAGACTTAACTTTCATACACAATGCCTCTATATATCAAATACACTAGTCCTTAATTTCCAGGCAGTGCTCACGACGTTGTAGACTGGCAGCTCATTGTATGGAAGTGCTCTTGTACTTCTAATGCAACAAAAGTTCTCAAATATTCCATATGTAGCTTTGCAAACACCAACTGGTCCTACTCCTAAATTCTTCTACGTGGTCTTAGTCGGGATGAATTTTATTCTTCTGATGACGTTAACATCACTAGATTTTCTTTATTTCAATTTCAGGACCTGTCTGAACCTAATTGCTTCAATTACTACAAATCAATCATTCGTCCTTTATTGTGATTATATTACCATCGAATTCAGATATAAAGTGAGTTGCGAAAAAGGTTGTTTGTTCAGCGTAACTATTCAGCTATTTCTAATATCCGACCGGTTTTTAGAAATATTAAAAGCATTCGACAAACAAAAGAATTAGGAGCTAAACGATAGTGTTCCAATTTACGAAATAATAATAGCTTTTTATTTGCTACTTTAGAGAAGAAACTCTGTAATCACTCTAATACTCCTACTGTCATAAAGGTCAATTATGCTCTAACAAGAGACCAAAAAAACTGTGTGGACTGCTTAACAATACATTTGCTCGGGCATTCACTGAATGTAGTCAGAATGAACGCATATTCAGCAGTTTTTACTTATGTACACTGGCAATAAGATCATTAAAACCTTCTCTTGGAAGTGGCTATTATGAAATACCGGCTTATTTAGTGAAATATGGGGATCTGACATTCACATCCTGCTTACCAGAATATTCAACCTGTCCTTTGATCCAGGCATTTTTTTTCCTTGTCAATGGAAAACTACATACATTATCCCTTACTTTAAAAAGAGGTACAGACTAAGTATAGACAATTAACACCCTGTTAAGCACACTTCCGTCCTATCTAGAACTATGGAGAAGATTAAAGAGAAGGCAACTGGCAACCATCTAGATAAGCACCAATTGATTGTATCTTCACAATATGGGTTTATTTCCAAAACGTCATGCATAACCTTTTACCTTGAACACTGCGAAATGAACAGTGGGAGTGGAAGGAAAATAGTTGTGACTCTTTACTTTGACTTCACCAAAGGGTTTGAGAAAGCACAAAACTCTTCTCTCTTAATTAAACTAAAGACTTTAGGTATAGTTGGTAAAATACATAAATGCATCACATCCATCCTAAAAGATCGAACCCAAGAAGTGGAAATACGGCAAAACTTCTCCGATCCTAAGAACATCACCAGTAGTATCTTCCAGGGCTAAGGCTTGGCCCTCTGTTTTTCATCATGTATGTTAGTGAAATATGCTGTTATATCCCGATATGAATAACGAATGGTAATTTTGGGGATTCATTTTTGGACCAATATTATGAGTATATTTTCATCGTATAATTGTTTTGTAACCAAAATGTTCATATTCATGTTCCTCTTTCTATGAGCTTTATTTTGATCTATGAAGTATTATTATACGATTTACCATTCTTGAATTATGCTCTGTCTATTAATTACTATCTCCCTCACTGATAGCCATATTTGGCTAATTCTTGTACAAATGTTGTTTCATAATTTACGGTACGTTGTGGTCTGTCTGGTTGTTATATAAACCCAGTATGCTTGAAATAAATGATTCATATTGCAGAGGCTGAGATTGGTATTCTGGATCCAGCTGGCTGGGCTAGGCGGAAAGCAGGACCAATCAAAACTCTAGGCTACTCGCACGTGTTTTATGCGTCACTGGTTCGGTCGATAATTCGCCGCTCTCTGATTGGCGGTATCGTTGCGTTATACAATAAACAGGGCACATAGGCTCACAAGTTGTAACAATTTAATTGCTTTAAACTTGGGCAAACCTTTCTATTTGTTGACGACCTTTAAGTGGTATATGCATTCGACCCACGTCCCGATACAAATATCAGCTGTATAGTACAAAATGTTCTGAATAAACTCCAAGACTGGTGTGACGCATGGTTTCTGTCTCTTAGTACCGAAAAACCTGGGTACATGTACTTCAGCACGTTCAATCCACAGATAAGATTTCAACTGAACAGGTTGAAATGTAGATAGCTAAGTAGCATCTACGACTTAGGAGTGAAATATTCCAAAAGTCTTTCTTTCCAAAGCCCATAGACCTATTGGGTTTGTCAACCGTAATTTCCATTCCAAGGAATCTAAAATAACCCTTTGTAAGGTGTGTTCGGCCTCCACTAGAATACTGCTCAATCATATTTAGTTGCATACATTCCATTGACCTACAAAAAATCGAGAAAGTACAGCACTATTTTACAAGATTTCTCGTGCTCGATCTATCATGTGAAGATAGGTGCGAAGCATGGAAACTGGATCCCCTGTGGTTAGGACGACTTGAAATTCATCTTACTTTACTTTTCAAAGCTTTGTATAGTAAAAATACAATAAATTGTGACACCTCAAAATTTTCCGAAAATAGTAATCATAACTTTCTGAAGCGGAGTTTTGTACCAAAGGCATCGAGAACATCAAACGAAATGAACACAACTATCTGTGTTACATGCTATGCAAGCCTCTGGAATAGGTTACCTATAGACATCCGGTCAAGTTAAACGCTTGCTCAATTTAAATCTTCCCTAAAATGCTTCATAGACCAGTTCAAAGTTTCCCACATGCTCGACGGAGCTTACCTAGACGAAGCTGCATTTAACGATGGTTCATCCAACATCTAAACTATTGGCACTTAGTGGCCGTGTTACAAACTGAAGTTATTCGACACCCGAATAGCCTTTGTAATTTAACATATCGCGGTCCAAACAGCGCTCAATTCGTGTGTGGTGTTTGAATGAACTAATGATACCTTTGTACTTGCTGAATGCTTGATTTCGAATTCTAAATACAGTACATTCGTTTGTGGTTATCTAGTAGTTCTTGATCCAATTACTTATAAACACTACATCCTGTTCTTTTGTTATATGCTTTATATCCCTTTTTATAACTATTGAGTAACTATATTTCTTGAGTTTTAATATGTCTGCAACTATTGGTGGTGTTGTACACTTTGAACCTTAGAAACATCTAGGACAATGACCAAATAAAACGTAATGCAACTACAGACTGCTCAGGTGGAAAATCAGAAACTGTACAATCATAAGAATCTCAGAATATACTTTAAAAGATTGTGAGTTCCTTCCAGTTCATATTCCAATAGTATTGACATTTTTAAAAATCATTACTAGAAATGGAATATTTTTTTACTCATCATCCTTGAAATTTTGCAACCTCAAACTCCTTCTCCATGTTCTTTGATCAGCTATCTGTTCTTATCATTTCTAAATCACACATCGTTTGACCAGTATCTTATAACTTATGCCATTAGTTATCTTCATAGCAGCGTGGTATACTAACTGGATGTCTAACACCCAATACAAAAGCTTTAACTTTCTGGTTTGTTTGTAACATAGAACCAGTAGTGCCAGTGTATTCCATCAATGTGTGCCACCTAGAGCTTAAATTAAAGCGATATTTATACATGCCACAAACGTAAGAGAGACTGACATCACAAAAGGAAGGAGAGTTGAGTTACTGGCCAGCAAATATGATGGCGGGAAGATAACTTCAATGTCTGTGGGGTAGAACATGTTGTTTAATTACGGCTCCTTACGGTCTAGTGGGGTGTCACGAACCAATCGTATTGATGCTACTTCATTATGCAAAATGCCTATTTAAGTCGAGTCAGTAACCTTGAACTGGATTATCTTACTACCGAAAAATCCTATTACAGGCAAAATTAGACAACTCGATACGAAGGAAGACTGCTCATGACCATATAAAATCTATAAAAATAAAATGAACTCAAATAGCTTCGACAAAAAGGATGGATAGATATTTGTGTATCAAATTGCTATTTTCGTTACTATTTTAAAACTACACATAATCCTATACTTTCAGCTTCTTTTTGAATCATCATCTAGGACCATATGCTGGCATTTTGTATCTTTAATTATGATTTAGGTGTTGATGTGTCCTAACTTTTTGCTTCTTTCAGCACTAATAATCTTGGAGGTTATAGCAAGAAGGTTCACAAACTGTGAAGACTAAATTCTGTAATAGTTTGATTTTGCATGTAAATTGGCGTGCCTCATGTA